GTTGTACCCAAGACATGAATTGTTCTTTTGTCCAGTATATCCACCTGTATACACTACCCTTCTGTTAGTCACTTAGTAGCCACCAGTTAGATCAATTGTTGCAGTATCACAATGCTTGTGTTCAAGTAATCTTACGCAGTAACCTGTATCACAATGCCTGTTACTCACCTCACTCTATGTCATGTATCATTTCATGCGGAATATTTTGAGAAAGTACATTCATATAACTTATTACAAGATTATTGTAATTGTTTTATTTTATTGTTAGTTATTGTTAATCTCTTACTGTGCCGAACTTGTAAGTTAAACCTGACTGTAGGTATGTATGTATAGAAAAAAATAGTATACGTAGGGTTTGCTATTCACTTTCAGGCACTCACTTGGGGGTTAGGGGACACACTGAAATTAGTCTTTCTTTCCCTCCCATCTTGCTGTCTCTGTGACTTCCCCAAACCCCTATGGTCTCTTTTTGGGCTCCTCCTCCCTTCTATTGTCTCCCCCTCCCCTTCTTTTAAACTCCAGTTCCATTCAATAAGGGGTGCCTCCCAACTTAAATCAAGCCTGCAGCAATCCTTGCTTGAGCTGCAAAACGACCATAAGGAAAGGTATCTCCTTGACTTTCCTGGGCCTTTGCCAGCTTGTCCACACCTATGTGTAGATACACGAAATGCACCCCCAAACCCTCTAGCTGGTAGTGTTTTGATAGTGTATGCTGTTTTAGAAATTGTCTCATGATCATGGTCAAGGCAGGAATGCTAACCAGGACATGTCAGCTCATACTGTGGGGCTAGCTGACTTGGGGCAAAAAGAAGCCACAGACCAGTGCCTAGGGCAACCTGCATGTCTCCTCCATGGAATAGTCTGAAGTACTGAATTTCCATTCTGACAAACATGGAATTTCTGTCAGTTGTCTTCTTCCTTCATTTGCTAAAATAGAAGTTTCTTGAGCTGTACCTGGGTTTTTGGTTAATGTGTGTGTACCAGAGACTGCTCTTGACTGTGGTGGGAGAGGGAGACATTTTATCATTTATTTGCACACAGAGGGGCTTCTCTGTATCTCAGGGGAGACCTATGTCCCGAGGCAGAAACCCAGCTGACTCCCTCATCATCCTGCAGTGCAAAGGAAATGAGAAAAGGGACCTCTGGGCCTGGGTCTCACTTGCCAGCCCTCAATCAAGGTGTCACTGCACTCCTTGTGCTCCTTTGTAAGTGGGGAACTATCACCACTGAGCACTGTGTGGGGCAATCGTGAGGACAAATGAGGAGAGGAGGTAATCTTTTATCTCAGGGCCTGACATTCTATGCAGGTAGGATAAATGACGTTTAACTGGTCAGCCTTCAGGAGTGCTTTTGAAGTCAAACTTAAGATAGAGCTGCTATAGCGGAGTATGTCTGTAATCCTGGCACTACGGAGGCTGAGGCAAGAGGATCAAGAATTTGAGGACAGCCTGGGCTAGCAAGACCCTCAAAACAACAAAAAGGGTAACCCTGAGACACAGGCCTAGGGATTTTAGCATCCTCCCTATTCCACATTTATAAACTTTATTCTGTAGCATTCACACCAATGACACAAGGTCACCAGGGCTTATGACTCTTGATGATTGCTTCCTTGCAGTTTTTATCTTGCTGTCTTGTTTTGTTTTGTTTTTTGAGACAAGGTCTTGCCACATAGCTTGAGCTGGCCTTGAATTTGCGATTACAGGTGTACATCACCATTCCTGGCTTATCTCTATCTCGCCTTCTGCAACAAGAATGTGAGGCATCTTAAAGATGAAGTTATGCAGCTGGACATGACAGAGGATCAGGGAGAGGATGGGGGTCAAGGAGCAGTCAGGATTCAGTGGAGAAGACAAAGAACCCAAGGTTTTCTCTGTCTTCCCCATCATATGAACAATCTCTGGAACATTAAACACATCAAGTTCCCAGCTTCCTAACAACCCAAGACACCAACTGGCCAGATTGTACAGGTGACAAAGTACAGCATCAGTCAGAGAGAGAGATGGACTTCCTGGCATTACACTCCACAAGATATGAAGACTTTGTCACTATAACATGTCATTCAGCCCATCTGGGAGGTGGCTCTGTCAGAGCAGATGGCCAGGTAGTGACTTCCATCCCTGCTCCCCATAGCCCCTTCCCCAACGGTGAGTGCAAGAGGCACTTGGGGCTGTGAAGGCTGGTCCTCAGGCCTTTCCTGACTTGGCCCATGAGGCTGTCTCCTGTTCTCTGCAGCTCCACACCCTCACTTGAGGGCCTGAAGGACTGTGAACCAGGTCCTGGCTAAGAATTGGGGCCCCTAAGAAGGGAGAGCAGGTGAGAGACCTCAGGAGCTGCCCAGCTCTTCACAGCCAAGACAGCACCTCAGTCCTGGTGTGTTAAGGACACACCCCTCCAGGCCCCACCTCAAAGTTTCCACCACCTCCCAACAGCACCAAGCTGGAGGCCCTTGAGAGACACTTAAGATCCAAGCAAGAGCAGTTACCTCTGAGGGATGTGATTCTAAGACTTTATGATTTTCCTTACTTTACTTCTTTTCCATCTAGAATTTTGTAATTAGAAAAGTCATTCAAATCAAAATCTGAAGTATCATTTGGAAATCTGGCATGCCGGTGAATGCCTGTAATCCTAGCACTCAGGAGGCTAAGACAAGATGATTGTGAATTCAAAGCCAGCCTGGGCTACATAGCAAGGACTTGTTTCAAAAACAAAACAAAAATACAATTCCATAAATTGATTACACAGGTTAATAGTTCTTTCTCTCCAACAAGTAAATGCATACTTTTTAATCTTTCCAGACACACACCAGAGATCTTTTCTTTCTATGCAAGATCACCAGGTGCTCCTTGCAGGGTCACAATGCACAACGGCAGGTCCCTCTGCATGAACTCTCCCTTCCATCCGGGTGTCTCTGCAGCCCAGGACAATAGGAAGGGCAGTCTGCCCACCCTGGGCTGGAGAGAGCTTTGCAAAAGAAAGAACATTTCCAAAGCTCCACTTTGATGGAAATACTTTAAAATTATAAAATGACAGGCCAGGAGCAGAGATGTAAAATGAGGCATTTGGGATAGTCTTTGCTGTCACTTTCTGCTGGGAATCATAGGGTATTATTATTATTGGGTTAGACTCTCCAGCATCAGGTCTCCTTTTGCCAGTGCTTGTGCCAAGAGCTTCCAGCAGGGGGCAGCAGGGCATTGCAGGAGACTGGTTCCTCCACACACACCTTCCTCCCTCTGGTGTCCTGGTTGAAAACACCAACTTCTGTACCGAGTGGAAACTACAGCCAGTCATCCTGGTGTCTGACGCTCAAGAGTACTGTGCACTCCCAGTTGCCTTTAGATGATGGGACTCTGAAAAAGTTAATGCATGGTCTCTAGGAAACCCACAAATTTCTTCCAAGATTATTTGTTTTTCTCAATTTAGAAAGCCTCAAACCACCATTTTATTACCTGTTGTATATTTTTACTTAACTCGGCTGCATCCCCAAAAGGACTTACGGCAGCTTCCCCAAGTTACACAAGAGGAAAGAGACTCAGAATATGTTCTTTTCCCCCAGGTATTCGGCTCAATTTACTGACAGGTATTTGTTTTAGTGTTGGCAAAATGAAGGAAGAGGAATTTGTAAGAGGTCCCAGGCTGAGAACAGATCAATCTGGAATGAAGGGTCATAGGCTTGAAGTGATGCCAGTAACAAATGATTAGTGTAAGAGATTTTACAAGGAAGAGCAGGGATTGGAAGCTAGCACTCTGGGCAGGTGGGAGCCAGGGGCTTAATACCAGCCTGTTCTTAGTTAGCAAGGCACTTCCATAAATAAGGGCCTGACAACCTTGAGCTCTCCTCCATCTCTCACATGGGAGCTCAAGGGCCTGGGTGGGATACAGGAGTTTGGTGGGAGAACACTATTTTTTTTTTCATTTTTCTTTTATTATTCATATGTGCATACAAGGCTTGGTTCATTTCTCCCCCCTGCCCCCACCCCCTCCCTTACCACCCACTCCACCCCCTCCCGCTCCCCCCCTCAATACCCAGCAGAAACTATTTTGCCCTTATCTCTAATTTTGTTGTAGAGAGAGTATAAGCAATAATAGGAAGGAACAAGGGGTTTTGCTGGTTGAGATAAGGATAGCTATACAGGGCATTGACTCACATTGATTTCCTGTGCGTGGGTGTTACCTTCTAGGTTAATTCTTTTTGATCTTACCTTTTCTCTAGTACCTGGTCCCCTTTTCCTATTGGCCTCAGTTGCTTTTAAGGTATCTGCTTTAGTTTCTCTGCGTTAAGGGCAACAAATACTAGCTAGTTTTTTAGGTGTCTTACTATCCTCACCCCTCCTTGTGTGCTCTGCTTTTATCATGTGCTCATAGTCCAATCCCCTTGTTGTGGTTTGCCCTTGATCTAATGTCCACATATGAGGGAGAACATACGATTTTTGGTCTTTTGGGCCAGGCTAACCGGGAGAACACTATTGAGGCTAACATGTAAGAAGTGACTTTCCCTCATCTGCACAGTCTGTTTCTGGTCTTGGCACCTCAGAAGTGGGGTGAGAGGACAACTGGTTGTTTGCAGTGTTTCTACCTACACTCCATCTAAGCGAAGCTGGCCAGTGCTATCTCAGGCCACTCTGACTGGAGCGTCTCAGAGAGCACTGTTAGATTAGATTGAATCCTGGTCTGATGTATTGCACAGGGACCTGTCCCATCCTTGAGGAGGCACGTGACCATATCCATCCCCACTGGGGATCACTCAAGACCACTCAGAAAGGAACACACATCTGAGAGAATGAGGCCAACACAAATGAATTTGGTTTCAATCTTTACTTTCAATTCCACACAATCTCTTTCCTTTTCATTACAAAAGTACTGAATGAACATGGACAGGACAGAAAAAAAACCTGACATTTGCAAAGTGTGACCCTTCAACAGGCACCTCAACAGTCCCATCACCAACACCCACATGCAAGGCACAGACACCAGGCGGACAATTCTCAGTAATCAGAGCTACACCATAAATGCAGGACCTTTTTATTTTATATAAAAATGATCAACGTGAAAAAGCCAGGCTGCACGTGGGTTTTACACACTCTGACCCTTCTCAATAGCCTTCTGTCTGGTCAGGCCAGAAGGAGGAGGCAGCCCTGCTCTCAGCAGTTCAGAACCAACAAGCTGGAGGTGGTAGGGAGAGCCAAGCGCACCAAGGTCCCCTTGCTTTTCCCAGGCTTGGAGAGAGGCAGCCTCACGTGGCTCTGGCCCCCGCAGCCAGGTGGCATGGCTAGGTACTCCGGTCTGGGCAGCAGGCTCCTCATCCAAGTTCACCAGGAGGGCTTCTCAGTACTTGCCTATCTAGGGAGCCATAATCAATAGAGCTGTCCAAGGCATTTCATGACTTTGTTCTTAGCCCCCTCCAGTGCTACTGAAGCAGAAGCCATCAGTCCACTGTGCCATTGTAGGATTTGTTGAACTTGTTAAAGGTGAAATCCACGGTGTGTGTGGAGATGGGCTTTCTGTAGAGGGGGTTGGAAGCCTGAGGGCACAGAGGTGAGAGGACATGTGTTAGTTCTGGTGCCCAAGCCAACAGGCTCAGGTCTAATGCCCATCCCCAGTCAGCCACTGGGAAGGTGGCAAGCAGAGCCACTGTCTGGGCCAGGACTAGTTCTGCCTCTGACTTGCTCTGTGTCCCTGGGAGATTCCTTGCTCTGAGTTTTTATTCATTTCTGAAATGAGGGTTGGTTCAGAAGGTCTCTGAAGTCCCTTGCAACTTTAATGGACACTGACTGGGATTCCATAGGTGCTTACTCTGTACTCAGGCCTTCATGAACCTACAGTCTGCCTGAGGAGACAAGGCTTGCTCCCATGAATACTGTAACAGACTGTGAGAACTTGAGCTGCTGGCCTGTTTTCTCCGAGCTTGTCCAGACAGACTCTTCCCACTGATCCTGTGTGTGGCACCTCTGCCCCATGGCAATTCCAATCTGGGCCTGGTGCAGGGATCCATGTGCTCTGGGGCTGTACAATTCTTGCTGTCCAACACTGAGCACAGCCTTGCAGGTGTTCATTATTTTTATTTTTATTTTTTGTAATTCTGGGGATTAAACCTAGGGCCTCAGGCTTGCTGAGCTATATTCACTGCCCCCCCCCTTTTTGAGACAAGTCTCACTTATTACAGGATTATAAGTGTACACCACCACACCCAGCTCCCCATTCCATTTTTAAAATTTTATTTTGACATAGGGTCTTGCTAAGTTGCCCAGGCTGGCCTCGAATTTGTGATTCTCCTGTCTCAGCCTCCCAAGTAGCTGAGATTATAGGTGTGCATCACCATCCCCAGATGATTTAATGCCCAAAATATCATCAGTCTTCATCACTAACACACCATTGAACTCAACCATGCCTCTGGGCTAAAGTCTCTTCTCTGCCCATGGCCCTCTGACTCACCATTTCGTAGCGGGCCCTAGAGCGTTCACTCTGGAACTTTGCAAATTCTCTGCGGTCATGGATGGTGACAAGCAGCTTCCAGATGGCCAGGAGTGCAATTCCAATCAGCAGGATGCTGCCAACCACAGCCAGCAGGATGGTCATGGCATTGGGGGCGGCTCCACACTCTGGAGGGGACGAGAGGCATGGTGGGCAAAGCCACGAGCATCCTGCACATCCCCCACCCACTGCCCTGCTCAAGCACATCTAAGATGAAAGGTCACCTCTCCCAGACACCTTCCCCTCTGTTTTTCTCTTAGATCCCCACATTGTCTTTGTGAGACTGGAGGGGCAGGTAGGTGTAGACTTCCCCAATGTGCAGGCAGTAGAAGAGGAATGGTGACTGCTCTAAGGTCACGTAGCCAAAGGATAGCAAAGTCTAGATGAGAGCCCTGGTGAATGGCTGTGCTTCCCCTGAAGGATGTCTCCTTGCCCCAGCCTGGCTGGCTCCAGTGCAGGATGCTGGACCATGGCTCAGCTTTCATGTTGATGGCTTCTGGGACAGATGGGGAAGATAGGAGTTAGCATGAACCACTTCTGAAAGGGCTGGGCTGGAGACCAGCCAACATTTCTCTGCCCTTAATGTGGAGTCCCTTGGAACAAATGTGCTCATTTTCAGAGAAAAGCGCAAAGACAGCCTTACAGACAAAGCCATACTGCTCCAGGCAAGCGTTGGGGCCCCCGCACAAACGGCACAGTTCCCTTTGGAATCAGAGGCTGCAATGCTGTAAGTTGGAGATAGCAAATCTTTTTCTGCTCTCTCCCTGCCTCCAAAAAGATCTGATCTAGACATTTCAATTACTCCAAGGCAAAGGCTGTTAGTCCCTGGGTGAGAACACAGGCAGAATTGTCAGAGTTCAGAGGAAAGTTTAGCTTCCTCAAAGGCTGGGGACATGGAGCACGGCAACAGGCAGTATGCTGCACCCAGCACTCCATCTGACTTCCTTGGAACCTGCCCTGGGAAGCAGCAGCAGCCAGCGAAGCTGTGTGTTCCTGGATGCTCCCAACTGAAGCAATGCCCCAGCTCTGCAGGTTCAGCCACCCTGTACTCTTCCTGCAGAGCACAGGGACTCCACCTTCCAAGCCCCTTCCAGGATCTTGCAAGCCAAGTTCTGTTTCCTCCAACACACACCCCGAGGCTTAGGCCCTGTCCTCCGACAGTTCCATTGCCCTAGCCAGGCCTTAGCCATTGCCTCATCAATGGGCCCCAGCCATATGACCATCTGTCTTCTAAGTCCGAGAGAGAGAGAGAGAGAGAGAGAGAGAGAGAGTGAGTGAGTGAGTATGTGTGTGTGTGTTGAGCAGGGGTGGCCTTAGAGCCTGATCTTCACAAGGAATTGAATTGTATCCTTCCTCTCTGGGATTTGAAAAGGATGGTGAGCAGAGAATGGTGAAAACCGGAACTAGGGCTGGGCTGTGCCCCTTGGGGCTCCCTCTCACCTGGCTCCCTGAGGACTGTCAGGTTGGACCTCCCATTGGGCAGCTCCGCATAGGTGAACATCATGACACAATCCTTGGCAGTTTTGTAGAAGCAAAGCACAGCCTCCTGGTCATCTTTGACTAGAAGAAAAGCAAGAAGAAATATTCTGAACGTCTCTGGACAACACCAGAGCTGCTGATGGTTGAGGCAGGAGCCGAGCACCTCAGAGAAGGGTGGGAGGCAGAGAGGCTTAAAGAGCTGGTGGAGTGGCTCAAGTGGTAAAAGCGCTGCCTAGCAAGGGAGAGGCCCTGAGTTTCGCCCCAGTACTGCCAAAACAAAAACAAAAACACAAACTTATAAAATGAGCTCAGGTTTCTCACATCAAGATTGCAGGCCCAGAGCTAAGACTATTGCTTTGGGGACACATGGACCACATCAGAGATCTTCAACCCTCTGAAGTGTTTGTTGGGGGCAACATGAAACAAAAGAAGCCTTTAATGGTTGGGGATAGGAATGAGTGGATAGAATTGGGTGGAAATTAAAGAAATAAAAGACCACCCTGACCCACCCCTATCCCCACCGACATCTAAGTGACAGTCCATACTTGAGAAATAGTTCAGTCCACTCAGGGCTGAGAGGAGGCTACAGAGGCAGCTCTTCCCTGAGATGTAAGAAGCTTGGGGTAAGAAGGACATGTGGGTGACAGGCTGGTGCACACTGAGATTAAGTGAGTTGGTGATGACCATCAGGACATTCTCTGACCCAGTTCTGCACATAGGCCCCTCTCCTGGATGCTAGCAAGCCCCTTCCTTAGCAGCCTCAGCCCTACCCTGCCCCCACGCTGCCTTTGACCTGAGGGAACATTGTCACTGTCCCCTGTCCAGTCACTGTTTCACTCATCCCTGGAAGAGAGTTTTAAGACTGATGTAGAGGAGGGATGGGAACCAGAAGAAAAGGGTGAAGAGGGATGCAAACAAAAAGGAAGCCAGGTGGCAATGGCAGGTCAGTTTCCTTTTTAACCTGGTTGATCAAAGGAGTTTTAATCTGGAGGCAGATTAAAGTGAGGAAGATTAAGATGCAGTTAGCAAACATGAAGGCCTAGACTTTTTCTCTTAGCTCCATCATCAAGCTAGGTGAGTGGGTATTTTTTAAAGCCTAGAAGGAAGGAAAAGGGTAAATGATGAGTTAGGCATGTACTTTCTCTGCTGAGTCCCCTCAGAGGGCTGGATTGGGAAGCAGCTGTGCACAGACCAAAAGAATCAGTTTGTGGGACACAGGAAAGCAGCCTCTCCTCTTTCCTGACCACATGTGTCTCATTAGCGAGGAAACTGGCCCAGGTCTGCAGATAAAACTTGTTGTAAGCCAGGCCCTAGGTAGCAAGAGAGAACAGAGGCAGGAAGATGGCATGTGAGGGACTGTGGTGAGTCCTCACAGTCTCCCCAGGGAATCACACAGGGCTTGGCACATACTAGTGCTCATTGAGTACATGAGGGATAAATATAGAACTCAACCTACTCCAGACCCATGACGTAGTCAAGCAGTCAAAACCATGGAGGAGTGAACCGGAAGTCTATAAAAGAGGTGAGTGAGGTCCAAGACAGACAAGAGCCAAGGCCAGGAGGTGCAGAAGCTGGAGGTCAAGGCAGAGGCCATGCCTGCCAGCAAGGGCACCCTTGGATGCACATTCCCTTTCCATGTACAGATTTTTTCCCCCCACAACTTTAAAATGCAGAGTCAGTTTAGTAAATTCACAGTGTTGTACAACCACTCTCCTGTTTCCCTGCCCCCACCCCTCCCCCCCACCCCTCCCCCGCCTCAGCGACATCTTATAACAAAAGGATCACATAACTTATGTTCTTTTCTGTCTGACTTCTTTCACTTAGGGCAATGTTTTGGAGACTCATACATGTCACATGTGTCAGCACTTCACTCTTTTTAATAGTTCAATAACATTCCATGTATGCTATGCCAGTGTCTACTGTTTATCAGTTGACCGACACCTATTATGACCAAGGTGTAGACATTTTGGGCATATACCTGGAATGGATTTGCAGGACTGTGCAGTGACTCTATGTGTACCTTTTGGGGAAGTTGCCAAACTGATTTCCAGAGCACGTGCATCACTTTACACTCCTGCCAGCACTGTCTGAGGGACCCATCCCAGAGTCCCAGCCAGAGAGCCTAGGCTGTGCTTCCTAACTTGAGGCTAAATCCACACTGTTCCCTAGGGAGGAGGAGACCCTGAGGTATCTGCCACAGTCCACAGGGCTGGCTGCCAAAGGCAGCTCTGGATGCTCACCAATGGTGTCCACCCACGTGATCACCTCGTCCTTGCACAGGTGGTGACAGGTCTGGTTGTCAGGTTTCCCTGAGTGAAGCAGCAAGCACTCGACACATTCTCTTTGGAAAAGAGGAAATAAACATGGCTGTTATATGCCACAAAATATCCCATACACATAACTGAGCTCCCAATAGTGTAGGTAGGTCCCTGAAGGTTTAGGTGCTCCGTCTCCCTATGTCTAGCCTCAGGGACTTTCTGCTCTGCCTTCTTGCTGCTGTCATTGGGAAGCCCCAGGATTCTCAGAGGCTATGTGTGAATTTACAGGCACATCTGGTATACATGTCATAGGTCTTTCAAATTCTGACACCAGGAACCAAACCAAGTCCACCTACACTCTGCTACATCCAACATCTGGCTGAGGATCTGGCTCCAAGCAAGAGGTTTCTGGGGGATAAAAATTATCCCTGGTCCCTAGAGGGACCCTCACACTCCTGGGGCCAGTACTTGATACTCCTGTGCTGCCCCAATTCCACAATCCCCACACGAGTCCCTCCGGGAGGGACTTTACAGCCTCCCGAACAGTTTCTCCAGGGGGTTTTGTAATGGGGGAGGTGAACCCCAACGCCTGGGCCCAACCACACCCACAGAGCTGAGCCTCTGAGGAGGGGCCTCCTGGTGATTCTGGTGCACTAGGGCTGAGAACCACTGTCCTGGAGTATGTTGGACTCTAGCCCCCATCTCCCTCCCAGAGCTCACCTGCCAGGTTCTCCAAGGGCTCTGCTGGCCACTAACCTGGTAATTGGTCTACACAAGAGTTTGGTGAATTTTTTAACAGGGGCCTTCTCTAGAAAGCTGTCAGCCACCTCAGGCTGACAGCTTAAATCAGATAGCATGTGAAGAAGCTTAATTACAAGCTCAGTTAAGTAGTTATTGCACCTGACATTGTCAAACCCAGTTCCAGACATTCTCTCTCCATCAGAGGTCATATCAAGGAAAGCAAGACTCCTGGAGATGAGGGCGAAGCTAGGCTTCGGCTAAAAACCGTAAAGCTTGTTGTGGGGGTGAGGGGTTTTCTTGCCTCCTGGGGTGGACAAGGGGTGGTGCTGAGCACACACAGAATGGGGAGAAGTACACTCCAGGGAAGAGGGGGTCAGGCCAAACAGCCCAGCTGATGGGTGACTCTCAGGACTGTGATGCAGTGGTGCTTGGTGGTCACAAGGGCTTGAATCCTAGCATAGAACCCTAGGAAGCTGGGTTAGTGTTCCAGAATGTGGTGTGTTGGCAGGGTCACTGGGCTGTGCCCAGGCCCCAGAGTGCAGAATCTCGCAGAACCTCAGTAGCTGCCCTACTCCACAGGCCTGTGGGGACTAAAAGGACTGTGTGTCTGGAAAGCTGTCTGGCAAGATGTAGAGGGATGTGTACACACAATGTGTGATCTTCATTATCTGTTTTTTTAGTTCCTGGGGATCAAGAGGCCAGTTACTAAAATGTTGCTGGGACTGGAGCTGTGAAGTGGAATATCAGAACAGGAAGGAGCTTGGAGATCACTGAGTAGGAGACCTTTGCTTTTCAGAAGAGAAAAGTGAGGCCCCAAATAATGTATACACATGTAAGTAAATGTAAAAATGAGAAAATAAAATTAAAAGAAAGAAAGAACAATGAGGCCCAAGAGAAATCACTGGCAGAGTAGTCCTGTACCCAGGTGTCCTGCCTCCTAGACAAGCCTCTCCTCCACTTTCTGGCCATTAAAAAGGATTGGGTGAGTGAGTAGACATGAAGAGAAAGAGGACAAAACTTTCTTAAGAGGCTGCTGATATGCTTAGGAATTCAACTATCCCAGAATTGGCCACAAAATCCCGCTCTGCGTGGTGAACTTCATGGAAACATTCTGGAGTTAGAAATGAACTGGTAAGGAGGCTGTAGGTGTGGTTCAGGTAGTAAAGTGCCTGCCTAGCAAGCACAAAGCCCTGAGTTCAAACCCCAGCACACCAAAAAAAAAAAGTGAGTTGGTAAGGCTTACATTTCCTCTAACAGTCTGAACCTCAGAGGACAGGCAGCTAAGTGTGGCTCGGGGCCAGAGACTGATAGCTCTAGCACTAGTCATTCATGCTGACCCTGCTGGCCCTCTGCTAGCCTCCTGGATAAACACACAGCAAAAGGACGGCAGCTTCCAGGCAGGCTGGAATCCACTGAGCTCCATCTGATGCCTGCTACATTATCCAGCTCCAGGCCACTTCCAGGAAATGCCAGTCTAACTTGTACGCTCCAAGTACTGGTCGAAACTTAGAATGCACTATAGTCATGAATTAAGTAAGTCCTTCCTTTTTGAAAAAAATAAAAAGCCAAGTCACTGAGAGAGACTTTGCTCAGAGCCTATTAACTGAAATCAGCTGGGACCAAGCATGCGCTCTCACCCAAAGTGAAGGGTATTTTTGGTTAGTTGTAGAAAATGGAAATTGGTTGCTCTGAGACCTCAGGAAAAAAAGGACGTAGGACATTAAAAACTTGGTGACTCTCAGCAAGGCAGCAAGTAAAAAGTGGCCTGATAATTCATTGTCAAAAGGACTTTTTTTGTTTTTTAAAAAAAGCTTCAACTACACTGTAATAGAGACAGAGGGTCAGTGTGGCCGGAAGACAGATAAGGACTAGTGATGCTCCTTATCTCTGTGCTGTCCTTGCTCCTTGAGTATTGGATAATGGATCATAAATGATCAGGTCTGTGTCTTCTAGGAAATAAATGCTGCGAACATTTAAAGCAGAGTTGTTTTCCCCTGTGGGCTCTTAACTGCCTGAAGCCAATCCTGCCTTGCCCTGGGGCTCCATGGGGAGACAGACCTAGGCTTCAGCTTCTTTTATAGCTGGGCCCCACTCCCCCTGAACCTCAAGTGCCCCGCAGATTCTGCTGGTGGGAGGTGGGGGTGGGGAGGGAAGCTCCTTTGGGCAGAGCTTGCTGACAATAGCTGTAATTCTGGCTCACATGGGCAAAGCTATTCAGCCTCTGGCTCTAGGGCCACGATCTCCTCCTCACAGGGCTGTTTCTATTTGGACCTCATTGTTTCTCCACTCTTAGCAGGTCCCAAGAGATCTGTCTTCTTTCCCCTTTTTTCTCCCCAATCTCCTCCAACTAAATAAAATAAAACCTGGTCTTGTCTATCGTGTCTCTCCATCAGCAGCCAGCTTCAATTATCCATGCCTGGATTATCTGTGGCACATGGCCAATTGAGGGTTCTGCCGCACAGAACATTCCTGAGCACGGACAGAAAAGCAGCCACTGCCAGCTTGGGGAGCATGAACTCATTTCATTATCAGCCTGGGCCAGACATTTGGAGGGGAAATCTGCTGAAAGAGAATCGCACACTGTGCTCCCCAGCCAAAGAGTAATGCAGCCCGTACTGTTACTGGGCTCTGTCATCTGTGCCTGGCTTCCCTCACACCCGCCGGGCTCCTCAGTGCCTGTGATGACACAGCTGTTTCTCCAGCAAGTTGTAAGAGCCAATGACACTCTTTAGTTCCAGGCCATACCATGACTTGACTCCTGCCACTCGCTTTCCCTTGTTTTTTTGTGGTGTGAAGAGCAAAGCTGGGGGTGGTCAGCACAGAGACTCCCAGATGGGCCAGTGACAATTATCTCTGCATTCAGGGGGAGTGCAGAGCTGGGCTCCATTATCAGCACAAATGGAGCAGAAAATCTGAATGCCACTGTGCTTGCTTCGGGCATGCCTTATCTAGGTCAGGTGCCTTTCTATCCCATTTGCTTTCTGACTACGTTTTGTTTAAAGCAGCAGTTCCTATACTGGTGTTCTATGAAACACTGTTAAGGAGATGTGAATGGGAGGGTCAAATTAATTTGGAAAATGATGCATGCCACATTCCCATTTGAAAACACACAACAGCACACTCAGGGCTCTGAGAAGACAGCATGTCTGGTACCAGCCACCCAGGACCTTGTGCATGCAAGGCCACTGAGCTGCAGCCCCAGCCCACCGGGTTAACTTCATTTAGTTCAATAATCCTATAATTTCTAAAGTTGCTTAGAATAGACTACTACTCGTCTTTTTGTGTTCTGTGTTTAGGTTTCTTACAACCCTCCCCGCTCACACTCAGAAGTTCGAAGCCAGCACTTTAATGACGTTAGCGTTTTGCTCTGAAGCAAGGTAGGGTAGGTGGGAGGTTGGCAGTGGGGAATGGAGCCTGGTGGGCCTTAGTGCTGCCTGGCTGGCAGACAGGCCTGGAGTGAGAGCAACAGGTAGCCCTTACCTCTTGGTGCTGCAAGCATCTGGGCAGGTTGGGCACTTCTCACAGGTCTCCCCAAAGGCTCCGGGCTCTGTACACTGACACTGCCCACAGATGCAATGCCCACGGTCACTGCAGATCTGCCCATCCTTGGCCCGACATGTGCTGATGTCTGTTGAGCAGTTACAGTTGTCCCCGATGTAACCTGGGTGGCACTTGCATTCTCCACAGTGACACTCACCATGGCCTAAAAGGACACATAGGGCACATCAGGGCCTAAATACATACACAAACACATACCTCCCAGGGCCCATCTTGCACCCACTTTGGGGATCCTACAAAGATTGAAACACTAACTTTGCCCTCAGAGCTTGCCAGGTCTTGGGCTATTGCTCTAAGTTGGTCTAGAACTTGATTAAGTCATGACACAAAAGCTTCCTGACTCAGTTGTATAAATAATGCTCTCCAAATATATTCACATCCTAATCTCTATCACCTGTGAATGTTCCAAGGAAGAACTGCAGAGATTTTGGTAAGGATTTTTAGATAAACAGGTGCCCCCTGGTCCAGGTGGGGCCTAAAAGCAGTTACAAGTGTCTTAGAAAAGGGAGAGAAGTGGGTGTGACTACAAACGGTGGCTGTGGGGCAAAAGAAGCAAGAGGCTCTGTGCTGGCCTTGAAGATGGAGGACAAGGCTGTGAGCCAAGGAACGCAAGGAATGCAGCCCTAGAAGCTGGAAAAATAAGGAGCGCATTTTCTCCAGAGTCTGCAGAAGGGAGCACAGCCTGCAGACACCTCGACTTCAGTCCAGGGAAAATGAATTCAAACTTCTGACCCCTGGGGCTAGATGAGAACAAATCCATGTTGCTCGAAGTCACTGACTGTGTGGTAATTTGTTACAGGCACAACCAAAAACTAGCACAGCTGTCCTCCCTCAGTCCTAGGGAAGTGCTGACTTCTGGCTCTGGGACTCCACCACCCCAGCAGCGGGAGTGGAGGGCTGCGGGTGGGTTGGGAGTAGCCACAGCCATGACTAGTGCTCTGTGTACTCACATCAGGCATTGCATGTTGTGCTTTAAATTTGTTGTCACAGTGACTGTAAGGTGAGCATTCTTATTCTTATCCTCATCTTTTGAGGGATGAAACAGACACAGCAAAATGAAGTGGTTTGTTGAATGTCATACAGCCAGCTGCAGTAGAATCAGACCCGAGGTCCATGGACTGAACTCCAGGCTCTGCTGCCTCCCAGAGCAGACCCCGACATCATGAGAACCTATTGGGGGTAGGCCAGGTCTCCCTGGAGAAGGGGCATAACCTTGAGGTTCTGCCAGTGTCCAGGGCAGGGGCATCACAGCTTGGAGGACTGTGTATGTAAAAGAGTGTTGTGCTTGCTGGAGTGTGAGTGTAATTGGATGGTGAAAAGCAAGATGCTGCCATCTTCCCAGGGACCAGAGACCTGACAATGGATTCTCAATTTGCAGAACTATCTAAGGTGGAGTGCAGTACTACAAATCCCTCTTTTTTTTTTTTTTTTTTTTCAAACAGTCTCACCATACAGCCCAGGCTAGCCTCAAACTTGTGATCTTCCTGCCTTAACTTCTTACCCCAGTGCTGGGATTATAGACATGTATCACCAGGCACAGCTAAATGTCTTAATTTTTTAAAAATCTATTTTGTATTATTTTTCCAACGTATCTTCCTAATGCCATTTTGCTTAGGATGGTATCATCAATAAAACCAAGAGTCTGCATTTACTGAGCACACACCCAAGGCCAGGCTGGGGAGTGGCTGGAGGTGGAAGGCCTTGCATTTTACCTCCATATCTGAATCAGTTATCCTGGCATTGGATCCCAGAACCTCCCTGTGACATCAAGTGACTGTGACCACAATAGAGGTTAGGACCTAACTCCAGAGAGCCTCTTCACTGGCCACCTGACTTCCTGACTCTGTGCTCTGTACTGCCCATGACCTGCAGGGGACAGGGAGACCATCTGGAGTGGCCATGCTTCCCAGACCTCCTGAGCAGGACAACCTCTCCACTTATCCAAGTGACTCTAAGTCACAGCACATTTCACAGGCAGTACTGAGGCACATGGCAAGGCCTCTGGGAGGGGATGAATGCCAGGAAGGTCAGGAAGAGAATGAAGAATGCAGCTTGTGCTGAGCAGGAGCTGACATGTGACACGGGTATCACCGGACAGTGCAACACCCTGCTGCCCAAGGTCTACATGATGGTGGAGTAGGGGAAGTAGGCTACACAAGGTCATGCACTTGTGCCTGGGATTGAGGATTGTACTCTTTCCGCCAGTGTGTGACCAACACCAGTTTGGGCAGTGGTAACCCCTCACAGGAAGTTTTCACAGATGAAATGGATCCAATCTACAAAACTCCTTCACTCTCCGGCCCCAGGAACCACACTGGTCAAGAACCTGTGTTAGGGCTTGGGGTGTGGCTCAAGTGGTAGAGCACCTGCCAAAAAGGATGAAGTCCTGAGTTCAAACCCCAATACCACAAAAAGAAAGAAAGAACATAAATTAAAATGGTTCACTTTTGGGACACCCCCCCAAATTATTATGAAAATTTCCCAAAAAAATCTTAAAGCAGCTATGGCAAAGATGTGCACATACCATGTCCTCCTCCTTTATACTCATGGCTGACACTATTGTCTACTAATAATCTTCCTTTCCAAGGAGGCTGGGCCGAGTTTCATAGTCCTTAACACAGTACCCCAAGTAGACTGTACCAACTGGTGGCAGCTAGCACACAGTTAACTATGTGCCATCTTGGTTTGAAGCCCCCAAGTCTCCTTTAGAAAGTGTCTGGTTACTTGTGTCCTATCCACATATTTCAGATCCTGTAGTCAGGACTCGGTCTGCACAATGAGATTGCCCACATCTTCTGCTCAACCCTGACCTCTCCTAATGCCTTAGTAGGAACACATATATCAAAACAACCAGGGTCATTTGATCCTGTTCTGAGGATCAAGAACCCATCAATCATCAATCATGGGGACTGACAAATGCCCAAAGCACCTAAGCAAGGACTCCTCATCAAAGCCAAGCTAACTGATAATGCATCCTGGGCAAAGTGAGTTGAATTTAATGATGCTCATTTAATATCATACAGACATGAAAGTATTTTCATCACACACCGACAAGAATACTGAAAGGCCTGCTAAAGTACTGTGTGTGCTGTGAACTGCTACATGTGCAAGTTATTAGTCCTACCTTTGTTAGAATGATTGAAAGCTAAATGGACAGGACGTTGTAAATGTGCCTATTTATACAAAATTTCAGCTCTACAGACTTCAACAGCTCTCCATCAGCAAAACAGTGCTTGTGTGGGCTGTGAACCAAGCTGCCTTGCCTCCTTTCCTACGACAGAATGCTGGCTATTCAGAGGGCGGTCTAGGCTGGAGAAGGGGAAAGAGTGGCCTGGAAGTCAAAGGAGTCAGTGAGAGGAAACTTAGCATTGGTACTTTGTGGAGGTCAAGGGCAGTGAGGAAACCTAACATCAGTTCTTTGTGGCGGTCAAGGGCAGTGGTTACAAGTTTTGCCATGGACTGGAGAGGAGTGCTGGTAGAGAATGAGGACAGAGTCCAGTCTGTCCTCATGAAGTGAGCCAGAGTCAACAGTAGGAGTAGGCATCACCCAGAGGCAATCTGGGACAGGAGGGGATGGGGACGAAGGAGAATGGGGATTTTGCAGGTGGGATATATTAAACCATTCTTCAGATGAAAGAGAAAGATTCAGAAGAAAGTTCAGGGAGAGATGGAGGGCTGAAGCGAATGGCAAGCTCTGAAAAGATTGGAGCAGAGGTTAGCAGGAGAGGAGATGAGTTGACGGCGAGGCTGTACCTCAGTGAGATGCTGGAGGACTATGTGCCCAGAGTGGAGGAACTTGGTGTAACATGGTGATCCGTTCATTGGAAGCTAAGGGCTCAGGCTGGAGTCAAGTTCAAATCTTCCGCCCCCATTCAATATGTGACCTTGGGGAAGTCCCTAAACCTCTCTGATGGTCCATTTCCTTTCCTGCCAATGAAGATATAATCCTTTGTTTGTGGCAATGTCCTCAAAAATACTGGTGCTTTTGTAAGTAAAGTCCTAACATCATCTCTGGGTCCCACCCTAGAAATGGGAGCTAGAATCGCTGTGAATGTTACTGGAACCAAGCACTCAAGGAACTCAAGAGAACACTGTCCACAGAGACATGCAGGGTATCTACAACAGTGAGGCTCTTGACAGAGGGAGGGGATGAGGCAAGTATAGAGGGCTCTGAGTAACGCAGGGGTCACCAGGAGGTAAGTGACAGCAACAATGGAATGACACTACTTCACAGTGGGAAGGGAATCAAAGGGATAGAAGACTAAGGGCTGAAGGCATTGTTGAAGAGTTAGGAGGCACTGGTGATGGTACAGGGATAAACCCCCAGCTCCCCCAGCCCCCAACCCATGCTCTCAGGGACAACCAGTCTCAGGACAAGCAGGTCCAGGAAGGAAGCCACCATTCTACCTCACCCCTACGTTTGAGGCCAAGTAGGTCTGCAGAGGCCTGAGGTAGCCCTGGTGACCACAGAAAACTGGCTGAAGGGCAGTGGGCCTAGAGGAAGAAAGGAGCTATCTTGGCAAGGGCAGAACTGAGAGTAGTTCTGTTCTTCCCATCCTTAGCTCAGAAGCAAAGGGGTCACAACAAGGCAGATGCCAGACCCTTGGAGTATAAACCATCTCTCCACAGCTGGTTCAAGACAGTTCCCATCTAGCTCTGTAATGCACTGTGGCTTTCCTCAGCATGGGCTTCCATCCCCTCTGGAGGGCCATTCTGGCTAGAGGCGGGCTGAAGAGGGAAGAGGTGGCTCCCCTCCTTAGCAGGAGAGGGCACTTCACCTTCTCCCGATTCTGTCTCCTCCTTTCCCCAAGCATACACACTCACTGCCTCCTCTTCCATGGGTGCTTCTCTCTCCTTACAGCCCAGCCCTAAGGAGCCCCTTCCTCTCCCACACACCCTTCTCTCACACTCTGCAGCAGCATCTCTCTCTGCCATGGTACTCTGCCTGCTCCATACTCCTCCCTTCGTCTCAGAACAGGGAGCCATGTAAACAGGAAGTGGTTAAAGACACAGAAGGGGTATGTGTTGGAGGCCTTGGCCCATCTGGGGTCACTTCCCGTCACCCAAGTCTCACATGTGTTCTAGATATATCTGGGTGAAACCTTGGGCTAAATTTCTGGAACTATCCAACAATTGTCATGAGAG